CATAACAAGGCTGGGCATTTTGTAGATCCTAGATACGAGGGATCTACAACGAGGTTGTTGCTCGGGTTGATCACCGCCAGACCCAGCTAACTTAGCAGTCTGGGACACCCGTCATATTATCTACTCTTGAAGTAGATAAGATTTACGAGGAGGTAAATAATTTGTTTTCTTATTAATTTTTATTACTTATTTAATTTATTTTTTAATGTTAATTATTAATCTTTTTATTTAAAGGTCGCTCCTAGGAAAAAGGGACGTATTGTCAGAATTGGTTCCGTTAACGATGTCCCCACAGCGACATCGTCTTATGATCAGGATCAGCACGATGTCACTGTTCAGCTACGCTCGGAGTTTCAGGTGACGCAATCTCATGTGAGTTCTCTCTCCGATATCTTGGACGTTTTGGTGGTTGGAAATCCGCAATTGGCGGAGATGTTGCGTGTGAGACGGGAAAACGGAGGGCTTCCAACCCAACATCATCCACCGTCACAGTCACAGCCGACGACCAACATTGAAGAGGAGGAGTTGGCGAGCCGGGACGACTTCGTTCGTCAATTTAACGAGCACCATCCGTAGTTTTTTTATTTTTAATTGTATACTATGAATTTAAAACTTAAATATTTAGTTATTTATAAAATATTTTGTTATTTCCTTTTTGATTTATAATTTAGTTTCTTTAATTTTTTAAAAATATATTATTTATATTTATTTAACTAATATTTTTTTAACAGAAAAAAAAACATTTCAAAGTAAATTCCTCGTAATCTTTTCGAAGTAAAGTTCTCGTAAACTTTCGAAGTAAGTTCCTCGTAAAGCGTTACGACGAGCTTACGAAGAAATATGTTATTACGACTTTACGAGGAAATCTGTACGAGGACATTACGACGAAATACGTATCCACGCGTTTACGACAAAATGTTTCCTCGTAAATTAACTAGGAACTTACGAGGAAAAAGGCTTTACGATGAACGTATTATGACAAAACGTGTTTCCTCGTAAGTTCATAGTAAATGGTCATTTATTAAGAAATTACGAGGCAATGTCGTACTAGTAAAATTTGTGTTTTCGTGTAGTGTTTGTAACATAATACAAACCTCTATTTAAGAGGGGAGGAGGTATGTTATGCTCGTTGAACTTGAGTAATTTGATGTTGCGTGAGAATGACAACTTCTAATACAGTTGACCTTTCTGTTATAACGTTTAGCCGTTACAAAATGATGATGACACTTGAAACTATTAGATGTGTGATGTGCAGAAATGTCGTCAGCTTAAAGACAGAGCACTTTATATGGGATATTCGTGTAATAACTATTTTAGTGGTCCGTAAACATTGGAGAGTGACTTCTAACTTTTCTGTAATTAATAAAGTGATATATTCATTGTATTTCATAGTAACAGATTTTATATATGTTTAGTCTATTCCTATATATCATTTTTTATTTAAAATAGAATAATGATATAATATAGTTTAGTTATATTCTAACAATACTGAAAATAAGATGATAAACAAAAAAATTCTATTTATGAAGTAAATTTTTTTTTTATTCTATTATAGAGCAAAAATAGAATAAGTTTTGAGTATTTTTACTACAAACTCTATTTTAGAATGAGAAATTTCATGTCATATCCTATATGTTTATGGCTTCGTTCAGATTTCTTACCACTCGTAAGAGCTATAGATTAGGTTTAGTTAACGCCTCTCTCTTTCACTTTGAAACAATTTGTGCCTGAGGCTAGTTTCTTCAATTTGAATGATTAGTTGCTAAAAAGAGAGTGAAAAATATAGTTAGATTGAAAATGCCTAATAGTTAATATAAAAGAAAACTGGACGATATGATAAACAAACAAGTTATAATTTACTTACTAAAAAAAGTTGACTATGATATTTAACGTATTTCTTAGAGAAAATTGATCACATATAACTATGAGAAAAATTATAACTAAAAACATAAACTTGTGATGACTTTGATACGTTTTGTATAATATGTATAAAAACAAAAATACCCTTTATACATGTTTCACTCTTACTTCTATCGTCGATATATTTTTTGAAACTATTGTTTCTTTCTCAAAAATCTACAATGATCTATGTTATCTTTCTTTTACCTCATGATCATTTACAAGTTTTATGAGATTCTTGAGAAAGAGTGAAAAACTAGAGTTTATCACACTGCCATTTAATTTCAGATTCTTCATTTTTCTACTATCACCATCGTTATCCTTGTGATATCGCACGCAGTATAATCATCGGATCCAACGATTATCTATTGTCTTATCACTTTTAATATTTGTTTGGATATACAGTTTAGCCGATTTTTGATATATGTGGATTAAGAAGCAAGAAATGTGTAGAATGTTTACAAAAGATGAACAGTGTACATTATGTTGTACTATTCTATTTGAGAAACATAAAATATAAATAGTTTTAATAATGTTTCAAGAGAATATGAATATGAATATAATAAGACCAATTTGTTTGTTTATGGTTTTATAGTATGAGTTGTTTTGTGTCATTTTTGACGAGTATCATTTAGTAACTACATTGTAAGAAAGAGGCAAGCATCAAACCGCAGACTATACATCCAGCATATGGTATAGGAAATCACCTTGTGTTTTTTGCTTTTTTGTTTTGACATCGAGAAACAGAATCATATGGACTCTGCGAACTAAACAGGTAGTTCTGTATCCATGTGAACAACAAAAGACAATTGTTTTCTCGCACTGTGTACTAGACTGTCCGCCCGTGAATTCAGTGTCCTTGGTACATAGATGATTGCCGAGCTGTGGAAACTCCCTTTAAGCGTCTTGACAATTTCCAGATAATTTGCAAATGATGGCCATTCGTCTGGTTCTGAAACCATTTTCACCAACGGAGAGCAATATGTTGCAAATGTAACGTTATATTGACGCAAATTCATCATACTCTTCATTGCCCAGATAAGCGCTTCCACCTCAGAATGAAGAGGTGAGAGGCTAGCTCTAACATTTCTTGCTCCCATTAAACCCACAAAACCTGCAAGACTACTATACCAACCATGTCCATCAAACACATCCTTATCTTTCCATGAACCATAAATAAAACACCAACGCCCTGGTATAGACGGCATGGCCACGACTACTCCTGACTGTGTTTCCATCTGGTGTACTTTTATTTGAGCCTCCTCCCACATAGTGGATTCTGTTTCCGCCAATGTGAATGTGTCCTTCGGATCAACGTCCAAATTACTAAATGTTTTGCTATTTCGCCCTTTCCAAATATACCATAATATCCATGTGAAATGATGATCGTTCATCTTAGGAATAGCCTGTCAAAATAAATGGTCCATATTCGTAAACAGAGACCCTATAGAGAAAGTTATTGGATTCAAAGGGATCTTTGACAATGCCCAAACTTGGCGTGCTGGTGGACATTCAAAAAAATATGGTTAACTGATTCTTTTGCAGCACCGCATCTGTCACAACATATATCACCATCTATCCTTCTTGCCTGGAGTTTTTTCTTAACCGCAATACACCTGATAGCAATTGCCAAAAGAAATGTTTTATCTTGGGAGGACACCTTATCTTCCAGCAGAATGCTTTTAAAACATCCACTGTAGGTCCCTGAATATGAGTCGGCCTTCCTCTATCTGGGTACACCCTTTCAACTTGATATCTTCACTTAACTGTGTATTTTCCGTTCTTAGTAAAATGCTATCCATCTCTATCTTCCATTTGTATCACCTTGTGTTAATTAATAGTAATGTAACTAAAAAACTGAAATTTACAAATTATTTTGTCAACTAATAGACTTTGAGCATAATATTTTTAAAAGAATAATGTTATGCATTTACTCTTGGACGAAAGTACGGTTTGCTAGTACTATCATTCAAATCCCAAAGTTCCATATACAGAGGAATGAAACGAAAAATAAATTCACATTTGATTCAAAATATTCGCCCGAAATTAAACCTAGCTAATAACTAACAAAATAATAATAAGAGTTGTTTTATAACTTTTTTCCTCCAAAATTTTAGATATTAAAAAACTGAGAATTCTGAATTTTCGTTTGAATACCTCCAATCTTCGAATAAAGTTGAAACCATGCTTCGGAGTCAGAAACATACATTCTTTAAGTTGTGAGTAATAATCAATCTAACTTTAAGAATACCCAGAAGCATTTGACAAAAAAAAAAGAATACCCAAAAGCGAAATGGTATCAGGGGCGAATCTAGTTAAGGGGTGGGGGGTCAGTTGACCCCAGAAAAATATAGAAATAGAAAACTTTAGGCTATAGACATTAAAGGAAAACAGCTCAGTTGGCTTCGTTTAATGCCTATGACCCCCATACTCTGGGTTCAAAGCCGCCTGTTCTACACCCACATCTACTCATTTCTTTTTGGTTTTTTCCTTTCTAAAATTCTAACGTGAGCTTAAAAAACCCAAATAATGATATAAGCTCAATTAACATTTTGGTCCAAATAAAGAAAGCTGTAAATAGTAAATGCTATTAGCACCATTTTAATTTGTTTTTATCCCTTTCGTATTTTGCAGTTTGGTCTTAAGATTTTTATGTTTGGGATATATATTCCTAATGTATATTTTTAAAAAATTAAATATATTAAAATAATATTAAATAAATATCATAATTATGACCCGACTAAAATTAATTTCTGGCTCCGCCACTGAATGGTATATACTAATTATAATTTAGGGGAACCAAATTTCTCCAGTGGTTATCGAAATCAGAAGCATGAATACAAAAGAATCAAGAAAAAATTCACGATCTGCTCTTTTTTTTTTTTTTTGCTCTTGCTACTTTTCTATCAATACCTTTTATCTTCTTTTTTTTCCTGATGTTTGTTTGAAAAGAAGCATATAATAATGAAGAACGCGGGCGAAATATCCGCCGCATCATTTCTCCATTTCGCTTTATAGACGGCTAGAAACGGTGGTCCCATCTATCACACGACGGTGGTGAATGAAAAATATATATACCTACATATACGTTGTGGAAGATGCTAGAAGTCGATGAGCGGTTCTCCGATGGTGAGATTTCTCTCCACCGTCCATGGTAAGTCGAAGAGCTTCGCAGTCACAAACTTGAAGATCTTATTTACGTTTATGTTGTATGAAGCACTCGAGAAGAAGAGTGTCGCGTTCAGCGCCTTTGCGTAGGTTCTTGCCTGGCTAGCAATAGTCCATTGAAGATCAATAGGAAGCTGAATAAACTCATCAAACTTTGTTCCTACCATAACTGGAATTGCCGTCTGCATATAATTTATATAAAACCCACATTAATGTTTTGCTTTGCCTCATCGACAAGCAAAGACAGGGTCAGCAATGGACAAATCATAATGAAACATTAGTCTTCATCACCTTTTTTTTTTTAAAAGGGTATTGTACATAGCTTTTGTATTCCTCAAATTATGTATAAAATATTATTAAGATTTTAGTTAAGATGTTTGTGGCACACTAAATCCCAGAACCAATCCTTCAAGTAAACATTTGAATTTTACACATGAGTATTTTACTATTTTTAAATTCGATTCAAAACTCTGAATTAAACCTATTTTGATCAGTCAACAATTCGAAATCCACATTACAAGACTAATGATAAAGAGACCAAATTGGTAATGATTGTTATATGTTTGCGATCTCACCTGATTAGACTTTCTAGCTTGTTGATACCAGCTGATTACACTGAATAGTGATAAAGATAAAGGAAGAACTTAGCTTCAAATTTGGAAATATTTAATAAAAAAAAAAAGGTTAAAAAGCCTAAACAGTAAAAGTTACCTGTTAAGTGTGCAACGACTAGTTAGATCGAACATGAAGAGAATAGCTACAGAGTCCTTGCAAGCCGTGGGGATTAGATCTCGTGATCTCTCAGCTCCTGTAAAAATGTTTTTGAGTAAATTTCTAATTAGGCTAACTAATCGTCCACCAACTCACATGGTATTAACAAATAGTCATAGTGTTATCTAAACGATACCTTCTAATTCCCAGATACTGTAGGAGATGCGAGCACCTCCCATGGACAACATTTTGTCCGTACAACTGATCCCTTTCTCTAATTCTCTCATTTCAACTTGTTTCTCTTCACCAACATATTTAGCCTTCATAATCAGAAATCATTTATTAATATTCTTCAAAATCCGGATTTAATTTATTTACCATTCAAAGTCGATATTGATTTCTTGTTTTAACTATCGTTTGGAGTTAAGTTCAAATTTTGGTTTTGAAAAATAGCATTCCGCATCAAACAAGATTTGAACCTCTAACACAAGTGAATCAGTTATTTTACCGACCAAACTAAAGTGACTACCAACACTTTAGTTTGATTAATATATTAGATATCGAATGTCTGAATTTTCTTTTGGTATGATTATGACTTTTAATTCGAAATTGAAAGAGACGTAAATGAATTTTGTCAATGTGTAAACTAACCAGGAAGCAAGTTTTTCCGATCTCTGAATCTCCTAAGAGGCTGATTTTGAGAGAAACCAGATCAGAATCCGATCTCCGGTGACTGTTATCGTGTTCGTGTACCGATATGCGGCGTACGACCTCACCCCCAGAGGCATCAAGGGTAGGGATCGGAGGTGGCTGAGGACGAGAGACAGACGGAGAAGGAGTGGCGGCGCGTGACAGCAAGAGATATCTCCGTGATTTACCGGGAGCGCAAGCGACGATTCTGCTCCAGATAAGGCGCGTGAATCGCCGGAGAATCGAAATCCGACGGTTCACTCTGTTCTTGAGATTGTTGAGTCGAACGATCTTAAGACAGGACTGAGCCATTCTTGAGATTTATTATAACAATCTAACGGAATGATTAATAGAGATAAGGTAACAAGAAGAAGAAGGCAGGTTCAAGAAGATCTGTTGATGGCCAGAGAGAAGCTGATTAGTTCTTTTTTGGCCACGAAAGGAAAGGAAAGAGAGAAGTAATATACGTGAAAGCTTTTTAGGTTTCTGCGTTTTCTCATTTTTCTCGGAGGGGACGAAGACACTTAAAAGTTTTTTTAACTATAATAATTAGCATTTTAATTGAATGTTACTTATCTGATTATTGGGGTGTTTTGAAAATTTTTGGTGTGCAACGAACTTTTCTGGTGAGACGAGAGGGAGGTGGGGGATTTTTTCTGGATGTGACGACCACATACATAATTTCTGGGCCTACGTTGACCTTTATATTTATGTAACGAAAACGACGTAACAAATCAGTCATATCTTACGTGCGTTGCAAATTCTCTGCTGATATTTTCTACATCTTTTTTAGCCTGACTATTTTGACAAATTGAAAAAAATACAACACTATATTTATTTTAAACATAAATTATACTATTTCATTCAAAAATTAAATAAGAAAATTTCAAAAGTCATCTTTTGAGCCAAAAACTCTCATAAATTATGGTGTTACTGATTATTGAACTAGATTTAAAATAATACATTCCATGTTATTAAAAATACTCTTAAAAATGATTTGCTTAACATGCTTTTTAATGATTTAGAGAACAATTTTAGTTTAAAATGAGAAAATCAAAATTTTGTAAGATGAAATATTATTTTCTTCCTTCATCTATTTGAGCTCTCCACCTTATCTCTTGAAGGTAATAAAGCTGCTCTTCGTCTCCCCCGACTCCGACCGCGCGTGGCGGTGCGTTCCGGTGACCGGAGGCTCATCCGTCTAATTTATTTCTCTCGCTCTGGTGCTGCTCCATCTATCTTGTTCCCCTTCGATATGTTGTCGATCTGGGCTAGGGTTTGGCTCCGGGATGTGCTCCGCTGCAGAGGGGTCTTCGATTCCGGTGGTCACTCAGCTTTCTCTGGATCTATGGGGAGAAGGTTGAGCGGTGGATGGTGGTTGTAGTCGGTTTTTTGGGGTATGGTTGGAGATCGATTTTCTCTCTCAGATCTCGTCCTACTGCTTCTTCTGTCTGCGAGGAGGAGTGTCGCGGTGCTGTCTCCGGGGTTTGGACGGTTTCTGTTCTGACCAAGGAGTCACTCGGCTCAGGAAGGTGGTTTCTCGTTGGTTCATCGAACCTGAGTGTTCTCTTCCTTAGCAAGGTGTGTGCTGGTGGGTTTCTCTACCACGGTGGCGAGTTCGTGAGCTTGAGCGCGCAGGTGGAGTAGTGTTTGAGCTCTGTGGCTGGCTCGCGTAGGCAGTGTCAGAGGTTTAAAGAGCGGTCGTCTTTTCGCTTGAGTGGCCTCTAGCATTGCGTCCTCACCTTTGGCCTTCTTCTTCGCGGTTTCTACTCCATTTGTCTTGTGTCTTGTTTTCAATTTCCGTTCTTGTTGAGGCGAGTAACGGCTCTAGCGTCTCCAATTTCTGTTTGCCAGTTCTCGACGATGTCGGGCGTGTGGCGGTTCTTGGGTCATTGACCGCCACTTCCTAAGCTTGGTCTTCGCTCACATCCCAGCATCACTTAGGTTCACTTGAGTTCTTTGTGGTGGTGTGCGTGACAATTGTGTGCAGGTTGGACTCGGTGTGGGATGTACGGAGGTTACAACCCTGTTTGGCTCGAAGCGGCATCGTGTACAGGTCGAGTTTGAGTCTAATAAATGCTTGGTTTGGGTTTTTACGGGTGTTCTAGGCCTCTGGTGCTGCTGTCTGTTCTTGTGGGTTTGTGCTATAAAGCCTTGGCGAGCTGTTCTTGAATGGGTCATTATCTTTTAGAGCGGATCACCGGGGAAGCCAAAAATACTGGGATCCCGACTCTCGGTTTGAACTTGGCTCATTCTTTTGCGGCAAGCTGTTGTTGCGGTCTTGGTCGAGCCTCGAGGTAGTGGTTTTGGTTGTTGTGTCTGTGAGTCCTGCCTTATCCAGATTGAGTTGTGTTTAGAATTTTATTTTCTGTTTCTCTGTTTCTTGTTAATTTCTGTAATTTCTGTCAAAAATGAAAAAGCTGGTAATAATATCTTTACATTTTTACCAAAAAAAAAAAAATCAAAGTTATCGAATAACGTTATTAAAATTTGAAATTTAATATTAATGTAAATTTCAGATTTGGCAACAAAGCATGCAATGATGTGTTTGTCTTTGAACTTGTCTTTATGTACCCACCACATGTGAGTAATGTTCTTGGATGATTACACAAATGTGGGTGTCTTCCTATAATTTCGATATATTGAATCACAAGTTGAAGTGATATAGAAAACAAGTTTCAAGATTCTCTCAACATGATCAATATATTATAAGAATTAACAACCCATATGATATTGAAGAAATCAAATGCTGCTGATTTAATTGGGTTTTAAAAGTGTTGGTTCAAATGATAAATTTTGGGTTAATAATTGAGACCCACGTGAATTTAAAAACCGCGTTAATAAACAAAAAAGCCAACTCAAAGACATGCCTCCGACCACTGTGGCTCTGTTTAATTTAATTTAATTAAACCTAATTGCACTATCGTCTAGTGTCTGCTAACTTTTTCGTTTCTGAATGATTTAATAAAGTTGATGATTATATTAACCTTTGTAAACCAAGGATTCTACTTAAAAAGTTGGGCACTAGTGGTGCATTAAACCGTAAATATTAACCGTAATATTTCCCAACGTTCAACTTCGATGCACCACTAGTGCCCACCCAACTTTCCAACTTTTGTTCGCTTTTTTTGACACAGAATAGGGAGTTCAAATTATTGTCGAAAGCTTACCACTTTCTTATATTGCGGGTTGTACATTCATACAAATAGTGAAACTCCGATATATGCTTGTTTTGATACATAACTCTGAATTAATTTGTCCAAAAAAAAAAGAAAAAACTCTGAATTAATATTGTTAAAATTTATTTTTAAACGCTTGCCTAGCTGTGTCCGAGTCGGGGAAGAAAATTGTTTTGAGTCAACAAACGAAAAAATAAGTCGTAGTTGTTTGACAAAATGGGCGCTGATGGAACGTGGCGGCCATTGTTGCCATAAACTATATTTATAAAGAAATTGGTAGTTAAATCATTTTTCTATTTTTTTAGGTGATTCAGATCCTTTTCTTTTTGTTCTTGTCAAGGTTGATGTGAATAGCAACTAAACCAGAATGATATTTGTTGTATTTCTATTAAACACGATGTGTATGTTTTTAAAAATTCCCCATAACTATAGGAAAACGGATCATAATTAGGCATGGACATATTTTCCGGATATGAGGATCCGAATCAGTACCGATCCAAAAAATTAAATTTCGGATCGGATTCGGATATACATAAATACCCGATCGGATATAGTTTGCAAAATGTTTCTGGTACCGAATCGGTTTGGATTATATCTAGGATCTGAACCAGTACCCGAATAGATCCGATATGTAGATTGGTAAAGTAGTTTTATCACTCTAAATGTTATTTCCATTTTCAAATCCCCTTGATTATTGTTACCAACTTTAGATTTTGTTGTATTAAGATGATTTAGTTTTGTTTGATTTATTTTTTTGTAAGATTATCAAGAATTATCCATTTTGATTTGTGTAAATATGTTTTAGAGTTAGACATTTCAGATAAATCTGGGTCTTGAGATTAAATTTTTGTTGATACACATAGAACCAAACCGAGTCCGTAAATATTTTGGATATTTCGGATATAACAGATCCGAACCGGATTCGAGAGGTATTGAACCGTATTTGATTCGAAATTTTGAAATATCCAAATGATACCAATTTTCTTAGTTCCGGAATATCTGAAATCTAAAATATCCGACCCGAATCCGGTATCCGAATGCCCAAGCATACTCATAATGTGGTGATAAGAGAACCAGCATTTTTATTACTTACTCCATATTTTTCATTGGCACGCGCAAAGAAAGCTGGGCTCATTTTATATGTGGGTACTTTATTCAATACTAGGGGTTTGTCCGCGCTTCGCGCGAAAGTTTTAATATTTTAAATTTTAAAATTGGTATATTTAATGTATCTAAAGTAGACTATGCTAATACTATTTTTAAAATGAATAAATCTCTAGATTATTGTATTTAATATGAAATTTATAATATATATATATCAAGTTTCAAAAAAAATATATATATATATATATATATATATATATATATATCTTAATCACCACTTTTTAATACTATAGGATGTATTAAAATATAATTATATTAGTATAACTAAATTGATCAATTCCATTATTTGTTTAAAGTTATGTTGATTTTGGTTATTATGATTTGAAAATTAATATTAATGTGGACTATAAAGATCTCAATGATTATAAGTATATATATA